AGAGAGAGACAGCGAGAGCAGGAACACAAGCAGGGGGAGTGGGAGAGGGAGAAGCAGGCTTCCCGCTGAGCAGGGAGCCGGATGTGGGACTCGATCCCAGGACTCTGGGATCATGACCTGAGCTGAAGGCAGACGCTTAACGACTGAGCCACCCAGGCGCCCCTCACTGGATCTTTTCTATTGTGGGTCTTGCTCACTCACTCCCTGTCCCCATCTGCTCCCATCCCTCGGCTCACCCTTCCTGCCAGGCCCCTAAGGGCACCCGCTCCATGGGAGTGTGGCAGGAGCTGCCCATAGCTGCACCAACACCCAGGTCTCCCCTTTCCCCTGCATTTTAGCCCCACTATTTGCTTCTGGGAATAAAGATGGTTCTCGGCCTCCCTTAGAGTGGGCATGGCCATGTGCCTAAATTCTAGCCAATCTAGTGGGGGAAGGCTGCTTTGATAGATCTGACTCCTGGGGAGAAGACCCTGTGCCCTTCTGTGTTAACACTCTTCCTACTGCCTGCTATTCTGCAGCCATCTTGTCTACGCCATTAAAACAGGGGCGCCTGGGTGGCTCAGTCAGCTAAGTGTCTGCCTTCGGCTCAGGTCACGATCCCAGGGTCCGGGGATGGAGCCCATGTCCTGCTCCCTGCTCAGTGGGGAGCCTGCTTCTCTTTCTGCCCCTCCCTCCGGCTCTGCTCTCTCTCAAATAAACATATAAAAATCTTTAATAAACAAATAAACTGTGAAAACCGGGTTCCTCTCTCCAACGATAGTGTGAATGGTGCCCCAGGCAGTGGGCTGGGAGCAGGGGATGGGAGAGAGAGCTGCCTTACTCCCCCCAGGCCCGGCGGCTCAGAAACCTGGCCAGACACTAAAGCCACATGGAGGCTTTAAAATAAAAAATCACTGCTGGGCCCAACCCCAGACCCGAAGCGGACGATCCAGAGCGGGGTTCAGGAATCTGCAGTTTTGCAAAGCCCTCAAGACCAGGTCTGGAAACAGAGCTTGCGGGCGAGGGCAGGGAGTCACGCGGGAGGGCAGTGGGAGAAGGGATGAATGTAAGGCGGTGGCACCTTCATCCTGATGACCTGGGTGGGTGGAGGGAGGGACACAGTGTCCTCTGAGGCGCCAGCGCTTCTGGGAGCCTGTGAGCCGAGGAGCCAGGGCCTGGGAAAGGGAGGGAGGCGCCCCCTAATCCTTGCCCACCTGATGAACTTGTCGAAGACGGCAGCACAGTCCCGGGGCTCCTGAAGCGCCACCTCGCTCTGGTTCCTCAGCAGCTCCCGGAACAGCTCGCTGTGCAGGCCGAGCAGCAGGCGGTGCGTGTGGAAGACGCGGACCTCGTCGGTACCCGCCGCCTGCACCCGCAGAACCACGTCGCTGGCGTTGCCCTGCCTTAGCAGCTCCTGCAAGCGCTGGAGCAGCGTCTGGGAGTGGTTGATGGGGGTGCCCGTGGCCTCGCCGCCCACATCGGCTCTCTGAGCTGCAGCAGGAGGGAATGCGGCACGGCTGAGAAGGCCCCCTGGGCCCGGGGCGGGGGTGCCAGCCAGGGGTGCAGAGGGACCAGCTGGAGACGCGTGCGCTTGGGTGCGGGTGGAGGCCGCGTGCATTCCTGTGTGCGCCCGTGGAGCACGCAGATGCATGCGTGTATGTGTGTGTGTGTGCGCGCGCGTGCATGCACAAGCACTTCCCGGGTGGGGAAGCTTGTCAGCCTGACCCTGAGCAGCCCCCCGAGAGGTTGCTCTTGCAAGGGGGCTAGATTCCTGGCGAGGAGAGATCATGAGCCAGTGTGGGACAGAATGCCCCAGAACCGGTGTCCATGACGCCAGAGAGCCAGGCAAGGGTTGAGGCACCCCACCCCTCTCACCTCCTGAGACAAGCACCAACCAGCTCCTTTGACGGGCATTAAGTGCACAAATAAGCACTCTAGTTTGGGACTGTGATGAATAAGGGAAGTGAGAGTCAGGATAGGGCTACTTGAGGGGCAGAAATCAGGGATGGGGGCGCCTGGGTGGCTCAGTTGGTTAAGCGACTGCCTTCGGCTCAGGTCATGATCCTGGAGTCCCGGGATCGAGTCCC